TTGACCCGCTTTTACAAAAAAATTCCAAACTTTTACTATGGCCATAACTTTTGAACGATAGATACTAGGACTTTCAAACTTAACATATTTAGTCTTTGTGGCAAGACCTTTAATTGAATATACAACTTTGACCTTTCGATTTTGACCTTGGAGATTTCTTTACTTATAAGAAAACTTTAACCTTGGCCAAAACTTTTGAAAGTTACGGTCAAGAGTGTTCATGCTTCACATAGACCATTTATTGAATACCAAGAAATTTGTCCCTTTGACCTTGACCTTGGACTTTGACCTACTTTAAAAAAAACAAACCTTGACCATAACTTTTGAAGGGTCAGGGCTAGGGCTTTCCTGCTTCAAATATTTAATTCATGAGACAAGAACTTTTATTTTGTAACCAAGCGGGAATGGAAAACGCAGGTTCAGTTTAATAAATTTATTTGGAAATGAAAAAGCAATGGCAGATCTACAAATACAAAAACATATATACAATATCATAATACACATAGACACTGAGACAAAATACTTTTATTTCCTATTCACTTCAAAAATAAGAAAATGTAAGTTTACTAAGCCCAAAAACGTCAATTTCATAGTTTAAAATACCTTTCTCTCAAAAATATGAAAAACACTTGAGCTTATAACTTGGACTTAATAAATAAAATGCAAAAATTTAATAGACTAAGAAAATTACCTTTCAAGTGGTGACAACGGGCAGCTGGTAATATGTAAGTTAAATTTCCCGCACTGACAGGGATGGGCCCATGCCTCAGTATATATAGCAGAAAAACCGGCTAAACAAGGGGGTACAAATTTACTGGCCAATGAGATTTTGTGAGTAGAATTCATGAATGGAGACTACTATCAAATATGGCATATAGTAAATTATGGCTCACTAAGTTATTCAATAAAGATAAAAAAAATTATTTTAAATAAATATGACTCCGCCACATACTCCCCAGCTTTAAATTTAGCGTCTCGATAAATGAAAAATATATATTCTATCAAAATACATTTTTCAATAATAGCCACATACTCTCCAGAAAAATATACATATGAACATCAAAAGTAACAAAAAGTTTTTGCATAAGTAATAGCGTTATTTAGGAAACACATCTCGTCACATCACGGCGGTTTAAGGTTTTCTGGCAGCCATCGTCTGACACGACACTAACGACATTTCCTGAAATATTCACAACACGATACACAGTAGAGTCCCATGAATCTTGGATTTTGTTTCTGCCGCGGATTTGACGGTTTCGAACGTACACTTTGTCATCAGTATTCAATTCCGGGTCAAAGGCTTTTCTGTCGTTGGTCAACTTCCTGTTTTTGGCCATCAGAGACGTATGATCACTTGCTTTGTCGAACGCATACTTTAGTCGGTCCTGGTGAGATTTGATCCATTCGTCAGTCGTCATCTGATCATCATCGTCACTGTCCAAAGCTCCAAGTAGAAAATCGATGGGTATCTTGGGATGACGTCCAAACATAAGATAAAACGGGCTGTATCCGGTTGTTGAATTCTGTGTTGCGTTGTAGGAAAATAGTAATTCGGGCAGATGTTTTGGCCAATGTCGCTTTCGGTCAGGTGTAAGACTCTTCAATAAGTTGTGTAGGGTTCTATTAAATCTTTCGCACTGGGCGTTTCCTTCTGGGTGGTAAGGTGTGGTTCGAGATCGTGTAATTCCATACATCCTACACAGTTGAGCAATGATATTTGCTTCAAAATTTCGGCCTTGATCCGAATGAAAACAATCGGGAACACCATACTTGAAAAACCATTCGTTTAAAAGAACATTCGCAACCGTATCTGCCTTCTGGTCCTTTGTTGGAACAGCTTGCGTAAATTTTGTAAAGACATCAGTCATCACAAGAACGTTTTCTTTTCCATGCGCTGGTTCCAAAACAGTAAAATCGATTGCTAGAATTTGCAGAGGTCTAGATGCGATGAGGTGGCTCATTGTAGTGCGTATAGCTGGTTGAGGCATCTTGGAAATTACACAACGTTCACAGCGCTTACAATAATCCTTCACAGAATTGAATATTCCAGGCCAATAACATCTTGAACGAACAGCAGAAAATGTGCGCTCTATCCCTTGATGGCCCAAGTTGTCATGACAACTGAATAACACTTTTTCACGTAATGATCTGGGAAGAATAAGTTGTTTTAAATCTCCTAATGTAGGATCTGTTACCACTCTGTAAAGAATTCCTTTCACAACTACAATTTTATCCCACTGTCTTACTAATGTAATCACAGATCTTGGTAATTTTCTGATTTCTGTTTTCGTTGGTTTAGATCCTTTATTGAAAATCTTCAGAAATGTTGCTAAGTTTGAATCAGCTGACTGAAGAGACTGTATTTCATCTGGTTTCAGAGATGGAAAAGTGTCGTAAACTTCATTCACAATTACATTTGAGGTACTTTGTTTCTGTAGATCTGAGGGTAGTTTCGTAGAATCTGAGAACTTCTCTAGTAGGATCTCTAAATCACTTTGCCGCGATGAATCATCAGGATCACTGATACGTGAAAGAGCATCTGCGTTTTCGTTATGGCGGCCTGGTCGGAATTTCACATCAAAGTTAAACATAGCCAATTTTGAAATCCAGCGTTGTTCAATTGCACTGAGTTTTGATGTGTTAAGATGACACAACGGGTTGTTATCAGTGAACACTGTGAATTTTGATCCCAATAAGTAATCTTTGAACTTTTCTGTTATTGCCCAGGTTAATGATAGTAATTCCAGTTTTCGAGAACTATAATTTTGCATGTTCCTTTCACTTGGTCTCAAGGATCTGCTAGCATAGGCGATGACATGTTGTTTTCCGTCTTTGATTTGCGATAGAATGGCTCCTAATCCTAACATACTAGCGTCTGTTTCAAGAATAAACGGCTTTTGGAAATCTGCATAAGCTAAGATAGGAGAACTCACAAGAAGCTTTTTCAATGTTGTAAACGCATCGTCACACTGAGAATTCCATTTATTTCCAAACGGTTTCCTTGGATAAGGTGTAAACTGCTGGGACAACTTGTGTAATGGCGATGCTATATTACTAAATCCTTTCACAAAACGTCTATAGTACCCCGCTAACTCAAGAAATGACTTAAGTTTTTTCACAGTTGTCGGTTTTTCAAAATTTTGTACAGCACTTATTTTTTCTGGGTCAGTTTTGATTCCCTCGGAGGATATGACATGTCCGAGATAACGAACTTCACTTTGAAAAAAATTGCACTTTGACATTTTCAACTTTAATCCATGTTTCCGGGTGATTCTAAACACTGTCTCTAATCGCTTCAAATGTTCTGGAATGTCTTCTGAATAAACGATAATATCATCCAAAAACACAAGTAAAATGTTAAATATCTCATCCCTGAAGCAGTGTTGCATTAACCTCTGAAACGTCGCAGGGGCGTTGCACAAACCAAACGGCATACGAAGATATTCATACAGACCCATTGGCGTTGTGAATGCCGTTTTTTCGATATCATCTTCATGGACAGCTACTTGGTTATAGCCACAGGTAAGATCCATTGTCGAGAAAAATTTTGCACCGCATAGAGCATCAAATGATTCTTCTACTCTGGGTAGTGGATAGGCATCTTTGTGAGTTTTGCTGTTAAGTTTACGGTAGTCCACACATAAGCGGAGCGAATTATCTTTCTTTCTGCCTAACACAATCGGTGATGCGTATGGACTAGTACTCTCCCTTATAATATTGTTGTTCAACAATTTACGAATATGTGATTTCACTTCCTCATATTGTGATGGGGGTATTCGTCTGTAAGGTTGCACTATAGGCTGATCGTCTGTTGTCCGAATAGTATGTTTTATGGCTGTAGTATATCCTATGTCATCATCATTTTTGAGAGAATACATCTTGATTTCGGTAGAAAAGGTTGCGAATTTCTTTCATCTGTGCAGGATCTAAATTCAACTTTTCTATTTCCGGTGGAATTTTGAAATCACTTGTCACTTCCTCTGAATTTGTGGTTTCACTGCACATAAATTCTTGTTGAACAAAAATCTCTTCAGTATTTCCTTTTCTAGTGAATTCGATGTTAGATGAATTTTCAAGTACATCGCCATTGACAAGGACGGCAACTCTTGTTCTGGGTGCTAACCACACATCGTCAGTACCAATATTTGCGATACGAAAGCATAGAAATCCACGGTTCACTTTACTAAGAGTCCGGACAACGATAATGTTTGATGACAAATGCTGAGTAGATGTTAACGGTTCTACCATGGCCTCATACAGTCTTGGCATCTTTGGTGCTGTACCATTGATAACAGTCACAGATTTTCCCGGAATTCGTACTGGAGACTTTGCACAGACTTTAACATATCCTATGACATCACGTTTAACATTTCTGTCACATGCTTTGAATTGTTCTTTTAATTTGTAATTTGCTGAAATTTCTTCAACTTTTTCTGTGTACTCTGCTCCGTGTTGCGTTTCTAATAGATTCTTACACAGTGAAATCGTGTTCATTCCTAGAATGGCCGGAATGTTTTCCTTACGCTGACGTGTTTCTAAATCAACGGAATTTTTCACAACTAACATACCCACTTGCTGTAACTGTTGACCCATGACCTCAATGTTGATCTCGATGTATCCAATAAACGGTATGGAAAGTCCGTTAGATGCTTTCAAAGAAAACACAATGTCTGTATTTAATTTCGTTGCTGACTTCAGGTGTTTCTCATAAAATGATTCTGTCACTGTAGAAACTGATGATCCAGTATCAACTAAACAATTAACATTAACACCATTCATTGTCACAAATACTGAAGGACATTTACCAACTAAACGTGTGTTCATTTTCCATGAGTCCGTTTCACTCCCCTCTATAACGGGACTCGGCATTACGAAGGGCTTTTGTTTTCCTGTTCAGAATTTGTAGAATCCAGTTTTGTTGGGCATTCATTAGCTTTGTGTCCCTGCTTTTTGCATCGGTAACATGTAAGCATGGTAAGTGGTCGATCATAATAATACCAGTTGTTGTCGTAGTATTTTTGTTTGGAATTGACAGCTTTTGTTAAATTTTCTATCTGACACGATTGTTTCTTCAATGCGTCGGTAAGTTCTTTGATTTTCTTTTCACTTTCACTTTCCGTTTGCTTCGTTATTTTTTCTGTCGATACTTCCGTTTTCTTTTCACTCTCGGACTCCCGGTTTTGTTCAATTGATTTCTTCTCCAGTGATTCTTGAAACGAGACTTCGCCATGTTCATCTTCTTCTGACCAGAGTATAGCCTCTTCTCTAAGTTCCCTAAACGTGATATCCGGTTGCGTGCGCAGAATACGTTTTAGATGTTTCCGTAGATACTGGTCTCTGACATTTTCTGAAAAATGTTCACACAATGTTCTATCTTGGTTTCCGAAAACTGACGAGTCTTTCCGAGTAATTCTGCTAATGATATCCATCAGACCGTAAGAATATTGACGCAGTGTTTCAGTTTCATTCTGTTTTCTGTCAAGAAATTTCTTCTGTAATTTAATAGCACTGTCTCTATCACCGAATACATCCCGCAAAATTTTAACCATATGTAGAGGATCTTTTTGTACATCACCTGACAAATACTTGATTTCGTCTCGCGCATTTCCAGATAGATTTTGGTAAATTAGATCCGCCCCTTCTTCTTTTGTCATACCACGTGCTGCATATTGAACATTTTCTATCCAGTCCTCTGTATCCATGTTATTGCCGGTGAATTTAGGAACAGTGCGATCTCGCTGCACATAAACAGTTTTTGGTTCTTTTGGTTCGTAATTTGTTTTACAGCCCATTTCACTAAGTTGATTCTGCAGACCTTTGATTTCTTTCTGTAACGATTTTACAGTTGGATGACTCGCCATTGTAACAGCCGAAAATGGTATTCACTATCAGTACGGGTAGTTTACGCTCGAGTAAACATTCCTTTCCCACGATGTTTCATTGATGTAATGGAATTTGAAGTTCTACTCACGTTGTTGGAATCTTACATGTAATTCTCCGTTGTCACCACTAGCCATTGCTTTAGTTCCCGGCGACGCCAAATGTAACCAAGCGGGAATGGAAAACGCAGGTTCAGTTTAATAAATTTATTTGGAAATGAAAAAGCAATGGCAGATCTACAAATACAAAACACACATATACAATATCATAATACACATAGACACTGAGACAAAATACTTTTATTTCGTATTCACTTCAAAAATAAGAAAATTTAAGTTTACTAAGCCCAAAAACGTCAATTTCATAGTTTAAAATACCTTTCTCTCAAAAATATGAAAAACACTTGAGCATATAACTTGGACTTAATAAATAAAATGCAAAAATTTAATAGACTAAGAAAATTACCTTTCAAGTGGTGACAACGGGCAGCTGGTAATATGTAAGTTAAATTTCCCGCACTGACAGGGATGGGCCCATGCCTCAGTATATATAGCAGAAAAACCGGTTAAACAAGGGGGTACAAATTTACTGGCCAATGAGATTTTGTGAGTAGAATTCATGAATGGAGACTACTATCAAATATGGCATATAGTAAATTATGGCTCACTAAGTTATTCAATAAAGATAAAAAAAATTATTTTAAATAAATATGACTCCGCCACAATTTAATATCAAGAACTTTGACCTTGGAGTTTGACTTACTTTTTAAAAACTGAATTCTTGGCCAAAACTTTTGAACGGTTAGGACTAAGGCTTTCATACTTCACATATGTAATCCTTGTGACATTTAACATTTTTAAAGAAACGAATAACCCTTACCCTTTGATTGTCTTGGGAATTAGATCTACCTTTCAAAACATTATCCTTTGGCATATCGTTTGAACAGTTGGTACTTAGGGCTTTCATATTTCACTATTGTATTTCTTGTGAGAAAACCCTGTTTATGGTACCAATTTATTTAATTTGCATTTAAGAAGTTTAATCTTCACTACATTGCCACGCGGAGGTTTTATTGTTTCACAAACACATCTTGTTGTTAACTAAAAATGCATATTTCTATGCAAACTTAACTTTAAAAAGAACTTGCAATTGATTAATGAAGAAAGCATACCAAATATGAACTCTCTATCTCTCGTTGTTCAAAAGTTATGGCGAAGGTTAAAAAAAAGCTATTTAAGCATATAGGACAAAGTCACGGTCACAAGGTCATTGACCTTGGTGCCATGCGAAAGGGTTTTATTGGTGGAGTATGCATGCCAAATATTAAGCCTCTATCTTTCTTCGTTCTAAAGTTATGGCGAGGATTAAATTTTGTCGACAAAAAAGCTATATTTAGCATATAGGTCACAGTCAAGGTCACAAGATCA